CAACGACATTGTATAGAAGCACAAGTCCTAAAGCATGAAACATCAGACTATCTGCTTTTAGATTATTGTGATTCTGTAAATGGTTAAGATACACACGACAAGCAAATCATCAAAAAGAAAAAACAGTATTCTAAAATGCATAAAACAAAGATAGCATTTGAACAGATAATCTCACAACAAAGGACGCACAAGACAGATTAAACGGGAAGCCAACACACTGAGTAGAACGTCACCACGTGTGAAGCTTTCTCATCGGCTATATCTCTACCATGACCCTGCAGTTCTGAGAAGCCCGAGTGCTGCCACTCAAAATAGTCCAGATAGGAACCTGATGACAACCGCCGTCTTTACAGAAACTTGGCAGGACTGCAGCATTCTCAGAAAAAACTCACAAATGCAATATGAAGCTATAGCATGCCCATTAATCCCTGATCCTAACAGGCAGTAAATGCGCACAAGGACCCAGTAATGACAGTGAGGAAAAAACAAGTGAGGGGTTATTTGAGTCACGTTCAAATGCTTTATTTAGTCGAGATTAGATAAAGTAATTTCATGGGAATTCAGGAAACTTCAATGGCAGAACAGAACTGTATTAGTCTTGAGTACGTGGAAATCTGCAGCTTCATCAGCAGGCAGAGAGAAATTTCAAACACCGCACAAAACAAATATGCTGGCGAAAGTAAGCCACGGCATGATGTTAACACAGCTATTTATGACTCTGCAAACACAAAACCAATAGTATGTGGTTTCGCACAACGATATTTGGCCACGACGGGACAGTGGGACCAAAGAACAGATGAGATTCAAATGTGGAAATAGGACGAGGATGAGGAGCAACCAGTTCAACAGTTAGGTTCTCTACATGCAACAGGTGCGCTAAAGTATCAGCTCCGGTCCACTCCAACTCCCGGCTCTGAACCAGTTACTGAGCACACAGCCATGTGATTAGTCCCCAAACACGACAGCCTGAGATTGATGAGTCTCACATGACACGGCGCAGTTATGAAAGCCCGCAGCGGAGGAAGGATGCCATGCCAATCAAGAACCTGAGAGCCTGCTTTTCTTGAACTGTCCAAAAAAGAGCACGTGGCACTAAATTTTGCAGACCAGTTTTGGAGTTGCGTGCATTCCCCGAGACTGGGGAGGATTTAGTCTCTAAGTGTCCGAAGCGGTCCGCGGTCAGTTATGTCACGATAAATAAATCAGGTTTTACATTCAACGTGGTGTTCCAGCTTTACTCCAGATTGTTAAACACTTGGAGAAAAAAAGCTAAACAAGTTTTTGCAAACTCCATTACACAGAGAAGTCAAACACTGTTCCAGGTCAAAGTGTGAAAAATTTAGCAGGAGATTATTCAGTTTATTCAATACGGAACGGTTTAGTACAGCAGGGGGGAAAAAAAGGCTTAACGTGCGCTCTCTCTTACACATCTCAACACAAACACATTTTTTACAGATCCGTACGGCCCAGTTTAAAAAGGAAGTTTCCTAAGCAGGGTGCCAAGACAAGCAATTGGAGAGAGGGTGATGAACACACAGCTATTGGCTGATAAGGCCTCCGAGTGGCTCCGGGATGAGCCAGAAGCTCTGGCTGTAATGTACAGTATGCTGTCCCAGAATGGTGCTGCAGCCAGGGAAACAAGAGAGGCTTTTTAGGCTTTCCTCAGAGGGTAAGCCAACCTGCTGCCCTCTGTGGTATTCTGGAAACCACAGTGATGTGCTTTGACAGTGCTTTGAGTCGGTGATGTATTATGCTGGGTACCCACACTGCAAAACAAAAAGTTTTTTATACTATGGCCATATAGGCCTCTGCTGGAGAACCAGGAGGGAGATTTTTCAATCATGTTACGATTGCACCTTAGCGTGAAAATGTTTTCAACTTTGGAAGAAAGAAAAAAAGGGTTCGTGTGATGCTTTTCAAGGAGAACCTGTCAAAGCACTCCGACAAGTTTCTTTAAAGGTCTCAATTAAAATAGACTGCATGATTATACCAGAGCCAGCTCTAGAATAGCAACATTCATTCTTAGCTAATGATCAGGCTAATATTGATGTCAGGATTTTGGATTCTGCTTCTGACATTTGACTCGGGTCATTATTTAACCTTCTCTCTCCTCTGTCAACCCTCTAATTCTGTCCATTTAGTTCCAGACATCTTAAAATTACCCCTCCGTTTTTCACATCATGTAATCCTATCTCCCCCTTTTTGTTTCACTTATCACTTTGCTTTTATAAATCAAGTCAATTACCAGTTTTCTCTCATCTTCAATCCCTTATCAACTGCACTCTTGCCCATCCTTGTTACCCCCCCCCCCCAAGTGTCCTCTAAACCATGTCTTCTCCCAGATTTCCCTCCTCCAGAGCTGCTTCATGCCTGATGAATGGAGACCTTATGCCAGAGGTATGAAGAGCACAGCTGACCACTGGGTTAACAGAGAACGCCTGCTGACTGCCTGTTTGCTCTAGGACTGATGCCAGCCAGCTCCTCCTCCTCCACCTCCCCCACCGGACCACACACACACACTCCCAGCATTCATATCTCTGGGTGCAGGGCACCTTTATGGCCGTGGAACGTGCTCCGCCAATGACACGGGCCAAAGTGCAAGTAGCCGCACAACCTCCTGCGTACTGAGCTCTCAGATCCACTGGTGTGTGTGGGTGTGTGTATATACATATAACATTATATAGAGACACTGGCTGTTTATGGGTATGAATGTATGATCTTCAACACTAGCCCTAACCCTAACTCTTTAAATTATAACAACTTACAATTTCAAATTCCCTTTCCCTTAGTGGCACAACTGATAAAGAATGTGTGTGTGTGTCAAAGAATTCTGATGTAGACTACAAATCAACTACATAGACTCACTGTCAAAGGAGGCTTTAATGCTTCTACTGAGTTCGTACATACTAATATAGTTTGAAGCTTTTATTTTAATGAATGGACTGTTTGTCTGCAAACAAAAACATTAACTTTAATGTCATTATTTTAAGCCAAATTGGGTGATTTCTCTGAATTGAATCACATTCTTTAAAAACAGATACGGCATCTTCACTGTCAGTACAGACTAATGACTTGTTTACAAAATATCAGTGCAAGCCAGCATTCTGTCAGACGTATGTATTACATGAGAAACTGGTTAACCGCCTCAAATTGTGTACGATCTATCAACAGGGAACTTCAGACAGATCATTGTTTCATTCTAAGTGACGCAGATGAAGTACTCAAAGTTAGCAAAAACTGGACCTACTTCCCTTAAAAAGGACACTTTTAAATATTAAAGATTCTTGTCTAATTTGGTTGAATTATAAAGATTAAAATTCACGGATCTGAGAAACAAAAAACACTGCAAGATACAAAATCACCACGGTGTTAGAAATGAAATGTTAACTCGGCTATGAATAAGACACTTCTGATAGACACAGGAAAAGTACAAGGACATTGTGTGGGCTGCTTAAGTGAACAGTTCAAATTTGAGAGCTTTGGAAAAAATACATTTAGATAATGGCTTCAGGATGGAGTTTCTTTTTCCCAATCCAAGCCAATATTTGTGGCTACAATTTTTTACAACTTAAAACACCATAAAACCCTCTGCCACTTACATCCAATATCAAATGTTATTACTGAAATGACATGAAAAAAATAGAAAATTATATAAAAGCTGATTGTCTATTCAAATGACGTATACGATTAATCATAATTTACTTCAGTCAGCTATAGAGAGGACAAGATTAACATCGTGACACGACATTTGATGGCCGTTTAGTTAAAATATCTGTGAATCGTTCGGATCTTAATCAAGATAACATCCGAGTGGTGTAATTATTTTACAATTGAGCACGTCGGGAATGAATGGCCGTGACATGAGAGGGAAATGCCAGCATGCTAACACTGACTGTATTAAACTGACCAATAGAAGGGGGAAAAGCACATGTTCCGCGATGCCGAGCACACGGTGTCCTCCTCCGCCGTCTGGTCGCTGACCACGTACCGTCAGCAGGACCGAGAGAAACCACATTTATTTTGCGCCACCTTAGTTTAAGACCTAAATCGGCGGTGTGACTACAGCGTCGTGGCCGGTTGGTTTTCTAAACACAACGCACATTAATCAGCCACCGCTGAGACCAAATACTCTCAAAGGGGAAACATGAGGCGAAACAAAGGAGACTCCAGGACGCTGCCTTTGTAACTTATAAGCAATGATTATTTTACTGGTGACGCCACCCCGTGAGGACTTTTATTAAATAAAAAAACAGAGGACATGCGTGAACATCTGTGTAGACCAGAATGATGGCGAGTGCTAATGATGTAAACCGAGTCCCACAAAGAGAGCGCGTGCAGAAGCTTTGCTAGTGGCTAGCGTTAGCGTGCTAGCTGCCCGTACCAACAGGCACAACACGTCTCCCACGTCTCCCTGCACTTCACTTCAGGGATGTCAAATGAGCAAAACCTATAGAGCGTTGACCTGCAAAGCGTCCCAAAGCGTCTTACATTCGTCACACCAAAACTCCATCATGCTTCCAGACAACACAGAGAAAGTCCTAAATAATATTCGCTTACACTACGTTACACACACAAACAGACACACACATTTAACAGCTACCTGAAAGCTGGGTCCTCCTTGCTACATCTCGGTGGAGGCGACGAAAATGCATTTTTCTTGTTAAAAAGTTTCTGTAAGAGAGTCGGCGGCATTTTGTACCAAAATGAATTCGGTACAAGTTTGTTTTCCTTTTCAAATCCAGGAGCAAATCTTGTTCCTTGTAACTGTCTCCATGGGTGTCATAGTCATATGACAGTCATTAGTCACAGGCGCTGCATGGTAACCCACTACATTTTTCTCATTGGCTAACCAAACGCGGCTACTACACTAAATTACTTGATTGGCTGATATTTTTGTCTGGGTACCACGTGGTAGGCGGGTTAACCGTGTTGATGTTTTGTCGCGAATCGTGACAGCATGAAATGTAGTCAAAGAAATCAAACAAGTGCGACTTCCTACTGGCCAGCAGTCTACGCCCAGGCGTTATTTATTTCTTTTTTACAATCTCCAATGCCCGTGTACAGTTGTAGAAAGTCAAAACTCACACAATGGACAGATGATTAGAAAAATATGGAAAACTTGATCAGTTTAAATTTACATTTAACTTGGGTCAACATTAAACCCATGACCCTGACACATACGTCAACATTTTAAATATAACTATTTTTTCTTTTCAATAACCAACACATCATGTTAAACAAACAGGGAAAGAGTCCCTTTGCAATACAAGTTAAATAACGGATACTACAATAACAAATACGGATGTGCCATCTAGAGGTCATTTCTGACAAACAGTTGTTAAAGTAGTTCTTATGCACAAAATCCGACACAGGCCATTTGTGTGCAATTGCAGTACTTGCGGTGAGCACACCTATTCTAAATTACAAGTGTAGTATTCTTGTGGTTTAAGACATAAGAAGCACGTGGAACAGATTCTGTGAAACTGTAAATACAGACCAGACAAAGAAACAAACGAGGTTGTGGTTACACATTGGCCAGAACATTTGAAATCATTTCTCGAAAAAAGTTAAACTATGTAAACAAATTTTCCTAAGTCGAGTTAATTCCATTTTTTTAGGTCACTCTCCTACAATTCATTTTTAATAGGAGCTTGTTATCTTTGCATTCCTACCACTGGCAATTAACTGAACAAACATGTTTTTTTTCTAAGTCTTATTTATCTTACCCCTTTGCAATATATCCACTCACACTAACTGCAAGTTAAGTTAAATTTGCTGTCACAGGACAGCGCTGTTAAGCTTGGCGGACCGTTCTCTCATCTTCTGAAAATAGGCATCTTGTTCAGCGTCACTGCCAAAGTCAAAGAACTTGGCTTTAACTGGGCTAGTTTCAACAGGCCTTTTCAGCATCACCTTCAGAGGTAAAGTTTCTTCCTTAATGTTGATCTCATCCATCTTAGAAGTGTCCACATCAGGTTTCTTCTTCTCAGGATAACTGCACAGCTCCATGGTGGATGATGGGGTGTTTTTTGCTATGAAGATCTCAGCAATGGTGGGGCTTTTAAAGCAAACCTTCTTCCTACACAAAACAGGCTTTCTCTTATCAAGCTAGGGAGAAAAAAATACATATGACCATGACCATAAAACCCTGTCTAACCTTTCAACTTTTTTAATCATTATTAAAAGATTTAAACATAATTTTCCTACTTTTAATTGATCTCCCCTCTTTGGGTCTCTGTCTGTAGATCATGGATTAAACAATTCTCAGAATAACTTTAAGTGCAGACTGCAAGAGGCCTACAACCAAAATTAACTATAATAAGAAGATATGTTTGTTATTAAATTGAACAGTTTACCTGAGTTAAATGAGTTGTTTTTTATTTTACCCTCAGATTCAGGTTCTCTGAAGTGGCTTTATGGAGAAAAGGCATTCATTGAAACCTGACATCACAATATTGAATATTCCACCAACAGATGTGATGTTGAGCTACTTATTTAGAGAGAAACGTCTCTCACACACTCACCTGATAGCATTTTTCTTTTCAGTAGGAATTGTAGAGGCGTCTGAAAATGGGAAATAGTGGAGATCAGACTAATACCTTTCCCTAAGATCAACTCAAGTACTTTGGCATCATAAACAAGACTTTTCTTAATTTCAACAAACATATACATAAATATGTGTTGGCAAGCTTCTCATAAAATCACCTATGATGGCAGAAAGGTTAGGTAGCTGATACATCTGGATGCTCTGGGCATGGCTAACATCCAGCAAGGTGGAGTTTTTATCGTGAAGGTGGAGACTCCCTGACTCCTTATTTTGGAAAGTTGGTGTTTGAACTGTGAATTGAATACATGAAATATAAGACTAAAGAAACGTTGTACAGTCATTCTTTACATTCAAAATAAAGAAAATATTCACTCACACACACACCTGTTTCTGTTCTAAATATCTCTGGCGAGGGAACACTGCTCAACGTTGTCGAGGTAACAGAGAAACAGTCACTATCCTCCTCCTCTTCTTCTTCCGAGCAAAAAGTTGAGTCTTGCTCCGTGCTGCATGACGTGCCGCTTTCTGGAGTATGGCCGCCTTTAAGCGCCTGTAGGATGGGCTGCACCTGAACGGCTGGGGAACCTGCCCAGGACACGTCTGTGTTGGCTGCCACAGCAAACAATGAGGCTTGGCTTTTGGGGTTCTCAGCCGGGGCCCTCAGGTGTGACACAGATGCAGAGGGAACCGGTCCATCGACCTCCGATTGAAGAGGATAGATTGCACGCTCTCCATCCTTCCATGTGAAAGAGGGAGAGAGGAAAACAGTGTAGGGCCGGAGAAATATCAGCATACTGAAATGTTTACGTCACATGTTTCTAATAGAGTGATCTTAAAATTTAAGCATCATTTCTACAGTATATCAGCGCCCAACTGTCCTGTTTTCCTTAAAGTAAAACTAATGCTGAGGGAAATGTAGTTTGTTTACATCCCTGTGATGAATATAAGGTCAAATCCGCATGAACATGGAATACTGCCATCCATTCACCGATGTATAAATCGGCAAACTCACACACAGTGGTCCCTCTGGCTTTGCGTGGGGATCATCGGTTTCATCCACCTCAGGCTCCTCTGGCAACGGATCGTAATGTCTGCAGGGTCGGAGTCTATTATTCTCTGGAAGTTTAGAAGCAGGGTTTTTGAGTAGGAAAACGAGGCGTCGCTCGTTATTCCAACCTTGTTCATACGCCAAAAGCTGAAAGTTTTAAACTAATTAAAACTTTTTCCTTCACCGCCTAGTTTGAACGTTTTTTTTATTTATTTTTTTTATTTTGACGTCGGGCGAAATCTTACGTACTCTCACGTCTCCAACGCGCCACTTTCACGGGGGTATCGCGTTTGTAGGGAAACCCATTGCCACGACGGGGTCTAATTCTCAGCTTGCATCGATCCATCTTTTTACACAGGCCCCGCAGTTCCCAAATTAAATGTCCCAGATGTTGTCCCAAATCACGACTACATGCTAATAGCGCAGCTAAGAGCTAAAGGTGACCCTAACCCTCTCCCTGCTCTGTGGGTGCCTAGCAACCGGGCACACCTGAGCCAATTCGATAATTAGGCTGTTTATTGTGCACGAGCGTTTTCTATGTAAAAAAAAAAAGGAATCAATAAACCAAATGATTACAAAACACCGTGTAAAATTAATTAGCTCAGTGGTAAACTTGAGGTGGTTAGCTGAATATTCGTTCAAATAAATTTGACACCAAAGCACCGAGTTTTTTCCTTGATAACAACAGCTGAGGAGTTATCCAACATGTTACCCAAAGACACAATGCAGGCCGCCTTAAACACAACACATCCTCAATATGAATGAACCTAAACTCCATGTTCCCGGACGTGATGGTATCACCACCAATAAATGGTGGTACACCCCAGATGTACCACCATTTATTTATTTCTATGTATACAGCTTTACCTAACCTTAGTGGTCTAATGATCATTATATACAATGTAATGATAATAATGTGGCAATTATTCAATAAAAAAAAACACTTGACTAGAGCTGCATAGATATTTATGTGAGCAAGTATAATTTGCAATGAAAAGACAATTGAATTAGACAATCAGTATATGTGTGCAGTCACTTTACAGACATAGAAACCTGTTGTATTTCATAACAACTGTAAAAAGCAACACAACACTCGTTGAAAATCATTCCAGAATATTTTTATTTCACTCACTGCCCTTATCCCCACCACCCCCCCACCCCTTTTTGTTGCACTCAGTCATTACAAGGATATGGTGCTGATTCCTTTTTACAGCAGAATAGATAAATAAATAAGTACAATTCATCTTACTACACGCAAAAAGAGAAAAAAAAATCCATTCAAATTGTTGATTTAATAAATATGCTTACTTCTAGCTGTCTGTTTATGTACATCCGCATTGTTTATGCTTTGGGACGGTAATCAACTTTAAAAGCTTATTCATTACTTCTACGTCTCAACTCAATCAACCAGAAAAACAAAATCCCATTTTAAACTCGTTTGTTCTATTTACCTTCGGTGAGTTGAGTTCACCAACAACTTTGCCTAAGTTACATAGCCCTGCACATGTAGCTGTGTGCGTATAGCCTCTTTTCAACGGCCACAGTTTTTTTTTTTCTTCTCTCCAAGCAAAATGCCAATGGTTTCAGCATAGTTGGGCAGATTGCATGCATTGCCCTGAGGCCTGGTTTCGCCATTGTCTTTTTTTTTTTTGTTCCTTTTCTTTTTTTTTTCTTCTTCGACCTGAAATACTTTGTGCACGGACGAATAAAAAAAGATGGTCGTGACTGCACCAGGTGTAGAGTTTGACGACTGTTGCCGTGGACCAGTCCTCTGTGAAAGATGCATGCATGCTGAATGTCTGACTGCAGCCATGTAGCGATGCCACACTACGATAGTTGAGTTAATGGCATGGTGGGGGAGGGGAGGGGGGGGTATTCTGGTGTGTTCCAAGAGTTTTAGTACAGAGAAAAACAATTTAACAGGCAGCAGCTCCATTGGGAATTTTCTTATCTAAATTCAGATTCTGAAGGATGTTTGTTTTTTTTGTTTTTTTTGTAGAAGTGCACAAAGTCAGGGTGATATGCAAGTTTTGGATTGAATGAACACCCATTGTTGACCTAGTTTCTAAAGTCCTTTGCTGTCTGCTAAGGAAAGGTTTAGATATCACCTGGAGACACACCACACACAAAAACATCACATTCGCTGTCACACGACTGTGCCAGTAGTCTACAACGGCTTTTTGGCTGATCGATTTTGGGGGGGGGGGGGGGGGGGGGGGGGGGGGGTGAGGGGAAGAATGGGAAATAGATGGTCTGCTGATGTTTTAAGTGCCAAAAGGTTTGATTGCTGTTTGGAACTGAATGATAATCTGTTTGGATGAATAGGAGGTACCAGTTCCGGGAAGAATTAACATGCTTAAATTAAAACAAATCAAGCAAAACGTTAGGAATACTTGTAACAATACACATTGTGGAACAGGAAAATGTTTTACAGATTTACTATGTGAGCTGAGATGAAAATCTGATAAAAGGAGTTTCTCATCCAAAGTGATTTGACATCACAGTGGATAATTTTGGCATCTGTTATGCGTCACAAACTAAAGAGCCGTGTTGCGCCTCCCTGTGGAAACCAGAGACGTTGCTTTGCATTAAGTCTGCAGGTCAGTGCTTCCCTCTGCTGGGCCACACCAGAGCGCTCCAAACAACTTTGCTTTCCGTGTTCGGATTTCTTATTTTTGTGTGGCATGAGAGTTCATGTCACAAAGAAAATGACAAGTTTAAGTCAAATAACTGTCATTTTACCATTCAATTTGTTTTATTTTTGACGGTAAATGCATAAGTTAGATGGAAATACAATAGACAATGTGCAATGTGTTTTTCCTTTCGTTGATTTGTTTTTTTTAAGTAACCATTTTAAATCTTCCACTGTCAGGCCAATTGTGGTTTACTTTCCCAAAGCATGTCGACCTCACAAGACATCTTTAACCCACTGCAGGTCACTGGTCAAAGCAGGTCTTTGTGTCAGGGTGCTTGAAGGAAAACGAGGTCCGCTGGCCTTTACATGGAGATGCTGCTATAGAGGCTCTCAATCCTGGACTTGAAGAATTCCTTCAGCTCCGGTCTTTTGGCCTTTAGCGTGGGAGTCAGGAGGCCATTCTCAATGGAGAACATCTCATTGTGGACGTAGATGTTTTTCACCTTCACACAAAGGGAAAGTTGTAGGAAAAAACTAAACATGAAAGTGTCTGAATGGGACAAAGATTTTTGTTTCTCCATAGCTTGCTTGAACAAAGCAGATCGTTTAATAAAAACAACAACAGGTCATTTGGCTGGAGGCAGAACCAAAAACGTTGCTCTTACCTGCTCGAAAGAGTGGAGCCCACTGGCTTTGCCCAGACGTACCAGATCTTCAAGGATGGCCTTTTTTAATTCCTGATAAAGAAAGCTTTCACTGTTAAATTATAATCATTCCCAGAACTGGCTGACAATTGCAGTTGCTTTAGTTGATGCTGCCCCCACCGTGTTTTTACACAGGTCCTTGTAAGTGCCCAGGATGCCTTTCTTCTTGGCCCAGTCGGGCATAACTTCAGGATCAGGGACCACAATTCCCACCAGGCATGACTGAAACGGCAGGAAAAAAAAACATTGATCCTCACAAAAGCAGGAGACCTGAAGCATGCTGGTGCTGTGTAGGAATAATTTATATTCAGACTGGTGTGGTGGCAATAGAACTGCTGTGTCCTCACCTGCAGACTGTCTCCATGAACGTAGAGCTGCGCCACAGGCTGACTCCTGATGTAGATGTTCTCAATCTTCTCAGGGGATATGTACTCGCCCTGCGCCAACTTGAAGATGTGCTTTTTCCTGTCAATTATCTTCAACGTCCCACTCTGCTGAGGACAGGTCGAATCGAAAGGAGGTGAGAAAACGAAACCTTCCTCGATGCAGTAATAATAGTGTTATATCAAATCCCAAATGTACGTACAATGCTTAGAATTCTCTAACCCACCTCCCTAAAATGCAACTGCTATTTGCACCCCTGCCAGTCTTTTAACACTTCAGTTACTGTTATTTAATACAATATTGCTAAAATACTGTCTTCTAATATTGATTTGATCTTTTACATATACATTTTTACTTTATCCTTATTTCTACATTTCTTACTTCTTTCTGTACAACTGCCTTGTGTGCCTTAAATTGCCCCCTGGGGACGAGTTAAGTATTTTTTCTATACAACTGAACTAAATAAAGGACCGAAGCAAGCTGAGTGGACGCACAGGTAACCATTTGCCGATGTCTCCGGTGTGGAGCCAGCCGTCTGCGTCCAGCGTCTCAGCCGTTCTCTCGGGGTCTTTGAGGTAGCCCTTAAACACGTTTGGTCCCTTTACACAAACCTGGATAACATAGTAATGACATAGTAATAAGGTAAAGCGTGATACTTGTATTTTACACCAGTTCCTGTACAGAAAGTCGGACTTCTGAAAAGTTTGTCCTTTATCCTGGTGGTGGAACGGAGGTTTATGGTGTAAAAATGTAACAGTTTCGACTGCTTAAATGAAAAGTATGTAATTGTATGTCTCACTTAAGATCACTTTGTTTACCTCTCCCTCTCCCTTAGAAGCAAAGTAGTTCTTCTCTGGAACATCCACCAGTTTGATTAGGTTACATGGCAGAGGAGCACCGACGTGACCTATCAATGAGCACATGAAGGGGAAAAAATGCTTAAAAGTTCAACCTTTTCTTTATCTTAACCCATAAGAATCCATTCATAGTGACACAAGTGTAACAAAACATTCAAACTAAAATCATTTTATTAAAAATAACCAAAGCAACCTGTGGTACATTACAGACCTTTGAGCTTTGATGGTGGTAGTCATTTTAGTTTTAGTTTAGTCAATTTCTGTCTGCATATTGGTCCCCTGTTGAACACCAGGGGGAGTAGAAATGAACTATCCATCCACCCACCATCTATTTCCGAGTTTTTTCAAAGTGAATTCCCATTATTGACCACTGAATTTCCACTATTGACCGTCTAATGCTTACCAAACCTGATGTGAAAGTTTCTTATAAATGCATAGATTTTTAGACAATTTGTGAACTCTATAATGGAGAAGATTCACGGTCTGATATAAAAAAAAAACATCTGAATGAATAACTGAGCTGCGGCTGCAGGGGGCAGTACAAGGCCACGTTTTCCAGTTCAGCTATTCAGAAGGTCTTAATAACTATAGTTACCCCCCCCACTGCCTGCGGCAGGTTGAGATGCACACACACTTGGCTTGAAACCTTTCCTCTGGCATGTAGTTATGATCTATAAATCATATTAAGCACGTTGAAGCTACTTTTTCATTAAAAAAAATATATATATATATATGTTTGTTTATCACTTTTTACTGGGTTTAGATTTTCAAGCTCCAGCTCTATCAGGAGATGTGTCTCAGGTGTCTATCAGCTCTCAGAGTCCTCTCCTGTGGAACCAGGTTCCAGTTTGGGTCCGGGAGGCAGACACCTTCTCTACATTTAAGAATAGGCTTGACACTTTCCTCTATGATAGAGCTTATAGTTAGGACTGCTTAGGTGAGTCCACCCCTTAGTTATGCAGCCATAGGCCTGAACTGCCGGGGGATTTTCCATGATGCACCGAGCTCCCCTTTCCTTTCTCTCTCTCCCCCTCTCGGTGCAACCTCATTTTATTAATCTATGTTACTTACTGGAATTTTCCCTTTCTTGTAGTCGTTTGCTTTCTCATCCCTCTCTCCTCCTATCACTTCATGGAGCTGTGGAGTCTGGATCTGTGATTGGGAGTTTCCCACTGCCCCCGTTTTCCTACTCTGCTACAATTACAACTACTGTTCTTAGTCCTATTGCTATCATCATTATTACTATCAATATCTGTACCATTTTTCATCCAGTCTATGTGTTACTGTGTAGGCTGCCTCTCTCTCTCCTTCTCTCCCTCTCTCTCTCTCTCTCTTACCCTCTCTGTCTCTCGACCCCAACCGGCCGAGGCAGATGGCCGCCCACCCTGATCCATGGTTCTGCTCGAGGTTTCTGCCTCTTAAAGAGACGTTTTTCCTTGCCTGTGTCGCCTAGTGCTTGCTCTTGGTGGGAATTTTTGGGCTTCCGTAAATAACTTCAGAGTAGGGTCTGAGCTACTCTGTTTGGAAAGCGCTGTGAGATAACTGCTGTTGTGATGTGGCGCTATATAAATAACATCGAATTGAATTGAATGTCAAACTCGCATCTCTGTAAAACATGATTATGTCACTGCGTTGTGTTATCAGTTGACTGGATTTACACAGTCGACGCCTGTTGTGATCCTGACACATCAGCCAGAGACGATGCATTTCACCCAGAGCTCACGTATTGCTCTGACCTGTTTCTTTTATCAGTAAGCTAAAGTGGGGTTGAGAGGAGAGGAAACAAGCAAGTACATTCTCCCTTTTCCATCAGCCATAGTGATACATTGAAAAATTCTATTGATTCTAAACAAATAATTAATCTGCAGCAGGAAGTTCCCATGTATAAAACATTTCTAAATGACAAATGGAACGCAAACAGACTGGCATGCTGCAAAAAAACTAAACAAATTGCCAGTTTGTTACCTTAATCCTTTCGCCCTGTCCGGGGATGAAGTGGCTTTAGATCAGGGTTTAGTAAAGATCAAAGTCTCCCCTGTGATTTAAAACCTCAGCCTTTTTATATTATACCAAAGAACTCATCTTAAATGCCCTGTTTGGAATGGGTAAATATTCTGTTAAGCAATTCTCCCCCATATTCCAAGGAACACACTGCTGTAACTATGAGGAGGTTATTGTTACACCTCAGCATCTTTACACAGTGTGTAACAATACCTGACACATTTTTTTTAATGAAAATCGTTTTTTGTCACATCAATAGCCAAGTATTAAAATATGGAGTAGATCTGTTGCTTTCGTGAAAGGGAGAGATCGTGGATAAGCTTCTTCTTATTGAATCCTTTTTTTTCCTTTTTTTTTTTTTAAAGTGCCATCCATAAATCATTTCCTTGGATCTCAGGGTCCCGGAGGAGTATTTGACTGAACATAACCTCAACACTACAGAGTGGAGCCAGACAGCAAGATGACGAAGGGCATCGTGTTAGGATTTGAGAAATATGGCCAACACGGCGGACAAAGTGCGAGAGTTGCTTTTTTTTCTTGAAAGTCTGACTCACTGTCTCACCTTAGAGACCTTTGAATGGAAGCCGTGGCCAAGTAAACAAGTTCAATAATTTGAGATAAAGAGATTAGGATCGGCGTTTTCTCTGTTTGCGGTTTCATGACTCCAGAAACTCACCTGAGGTCCAGTCTCCAGGTGTGGTGAAGGTGCAGCCAGCTGTGCACTCCGTCTGGCCGTACGCCTCATACACCTACGTTAAAAACAGCTTTAAGAATCGAGTGGACTTTGTTTGTGTGCTGTAAAAAGTAGGACCGCATTTGCCCGTGCGTGTGCTTGCATGGTAGATAGACGATACGTGTCTTTGTGACGGCCAGTGTGTTTTCTAAGACCTTTGTTACATAACTGTTTATAACAGCTTAATGCACAACTGCCCTCACCAGTCAATGTTTAACTATGTCTGCTGTCGTCCATTTACGGTGTGTGATGAGACAGAAATCCAATAGGGAGATTTTTCACGTTGTCATCTGCCATTTGTTTGTTCAGTTTTGTGTGTGTGTTGGGTGTGTGTCGGGGGGTCTGACCTGGCATCCCAGAGCTGCTCTGAGGAATCCCAGGACGGTGGGTGAGGTAGGAGCTGCTCCTGTTATAATCATCCTAAGTCTTCCTCCCAAGCTGGCCTGTTGGGAAGTTGGGACACAGCACAAAGAAGTCTTTCTTTTACGATTGGCCATTTATTGACATTTAGGAGGAATCTGATGGAACCTACTATGGACTAATGAGACAGATTAGCTGAATATTCAAACATTTAAACACACAGCGAAACAACACTTCAACATTTCTAAACAGACTAGCATTGCCAGCTTTTCAAGTTTCAGTCTTGATATGAATCATGACTGTTTTTGTTTTATAAACTGACAACAGGGGAAGAAGCTGGAGACTATTAGTATTATAAGTGCTTTTCTCCATCACTCTTCATCATTTACTGTCTGTGATTTGATCGAGTGGCAGCTGGACTTCCCTGGAGTTTCAGTTACTCGCTGTTTAAGGTACCGTTTAGGGCGTGAGGCCGGGCTTTTACATTCTCTGTAGGAGGTAGAAACCCAGTTTACCTGGATCTTACTGAAGAAGATTTTGTCCCACATGCTGTCGCTGCGAATGATGCCGCTGCTCAGCTCGGCACCTTTTCTCTTGGCAGCGAAGTTGAGCAACCAGCGCTTCAGCGGGGTGTTTGCTTGGCTGAATATCTGCAAGGGGGGGAGATAAAAGGGAGCTTCCATTCACTCGGCGGAACAGGTTTGCTTTGACAGGACAAGCAGCCACCGGCTTCTTCGCAGGGCCTCGCTCGACTTTTTCGTCTCACCTTGTCATACATGCGGTTGAGCAGTCGAGGCACCACCGGGAAAATGGTCGGCCGAAGAGCCTTCATGTCATCGGACAGGAGGCGAATGTCGCCCTGGTAGAAGCCGATTCGTCCCCCGTGACAGTACACCACAGACTGGAGAGGCAGACATATTACCCGATTATTAACAAATATCTGCCGTCTTCAAAATAGATCATTTAAAATGCTTGAAATCGGGAGGGAAGAAAATAAAAATGGCTTCAAAGACAGAAAACAAAACCATTTGTTTATGATGACAGGGTGGATGTCTAGAGCAGAGTATCTTTCTCAACATCCAAATCCACGACATGTGTTCCAGAAACTAAGACGAATGTCAGTAACTGGTGAATTCTAAGAAACCTACAGGTAGTCGGAGGGCATTCTTTTGAAATACCAGAGATGGCATCTGTGTTTGCACTTGATGGAAATGTCATGGTTAGGGTTCCCACACGCACACGTTTCATGTCATTTGGCGTAAAGAGGAACATTGCTGTTGTAGCGTTTCAAGAAGTGTTTTGACAATGCCTTTAAGGGGCAGTCCTCTGTTAAGGACAGCTTATGTGCACCGCCATCTCTATGATTCGGCCTGGTTTAAAACAAAAAGGTAATAAAGACCACGCTGGTAGAAGATGCTCATTTCTCTCTATAAGTGTTGCAATTCTATTCCAGGAAAATTCCTGGATTACGATCTAAAAACGTTCCTAACAAAAAGGAAATGACTAGTGCAAACAATGTAGTCACTAAATACCGACCTGACCTTTTTGGTTTCAATGCGCATTCTAACTGTATATTTCTCTACACAGACACAGGGAAAACAGTAAGATAACTCAAGCATTACCATTTCATTTTTCATCATCTTCAATTCTCAACCAAGTTACCATTACATGTGAATAGAATATGCATGTAAACAAACATAAATCTACTTAGATTTTTCAATGAATTCCCACATAAAACAGGGAATATAAAACAAAAGCTTGTTTGTTTTTTCTCCAAACACAAAGTATTCATTTGATGCCACTTCCTGACTGATTTTAAATGTCCATCACCCATATTAAAAGTTCTCAATCAAATGTAGTATCGTGTAGATTAGAAGATATTCAACGCCCCATAACTATCTTATTCACCACTGCCATCTTTATAAGACCAATGCAGCAGTGCGCATGTGTACATTTAAAACACGCAGTTTTGCGCAATTTTAAAACACAAAGTTAAAGTTCTTAAAAAATATTATATAATGTGAGGGTCCCACAATCTTTCCAGCATCATGGGGAGACCCCATGGTTTTGTGCCCCTTTCAATAAAAACCACGATAACTTAAGATGAAAGTTTGAAACCGCTCCCAGAGAGGCCCTGAACTGTATCTTGAGGTTACTCAGAAAAGCAGCCCACAAACTTAAATCACTGGCTTAATGACTAAATTGTGGATTTCCGACTTAAAAATGACGCTGCGGACTGAACAAACGTGAGGTGTACCACAACCAGCATTTTAAGAATCGGACTCAACAAACTACCAGTGAGAATTCAAGTCAAATGCACCTTGACTTCAAATTAACGCACACTATATGAATTATCATTGTAGATTAGATAGATTCTGAGACACTTCCAGGGATGGATTACTAGAGCTGCCGTCAAGTAACACCGACTGCTGTTGAGCCATTTAAGGACATGGTGAGGGCATAACAACCGCCCTCTTTTGTTTGTTTTTTATTTATTTATTTGCCTTTAGGCTATCGTGCAGATCAGATATGGTGGTGTTTGCTTTGTGTCAAACACTTGAACTGGCGTCTGTTGTGCAACCTGTCGAGCCGCTTTCCGGGGACTTTAGGTGGTTTCCTGTGTCGGAGTCTCACGCCTTGGAAAGCGCTGCCGCTCGCTGCATGAAAAACTGATCGGGCTGGTCCCCCCCCCTTGAGGCCGCGCCAACTCCGTTTCACACGCTACACGTGCACTTGCACTTGTTAAAGTAGCTGCACTCGCTGATTGTGTTAGGGAGCTACGTGGGGTAGGAAAAAGCACTCTGTCAATAGACATGGTGCAGTGCTCGCACATGGAGGTTTTTATTGAAAACATTTGACTTTGTCATTGTGCTTTCTTAAGCTCTACATACTTGGCATGAGTTACTTGAACATGCCTTTAATCACACTAAATCAAACTGATCTCCATAGCTTTAAAAAAAAAGCTTTTGTATAGTTTCTGGCTGTGTATTTTCCTCCAATCAATAAAAATGAGTCAAACCTCTACTACATATTCAAAGTGAAACTGGAAATTGTTTTCCAGCTTTTTCCAAACTTCAGACAGGAGAGTCTTTGTAACCTTGTGAACACAAACTATTGTCACCACAGAGCCTCTGACGCCAGAAATTCCCACAAAAGGCCAACTTCCCAGGCTGTTCAGCCTTTCCATGTTTAGATATTCTTAATTCGCTTAAAACTATGGCAGAAGATAAGGCAACAGAAGAATTAAGTGGTGGTAAATACATGCGGTCTCTTTCTCTTTCTACATGTGTGTCTACATGTCCATGTTCCTCTGTAGACTGAAATATTGCAACTGTGAAAAGCAGATGTGGCAATTATCCCAGTAAGACAACTGAAGAAGGAATGAAGGAAGAGAAGATTCAGCCTCACTTCCTCTCACCCACACACTCACTCACCCACTTCTAATGCCGTAATTCATGCAGAAATTCCTCCTTTGCCCACACTAACATCTTAAACACATAACTATCTAATTCCTGGACGGGGGTTACAGATTCCATCTCTGAAAGTTTACCTCAATGAGTCTCTCGAACATGTGAGCCAGGGGCAGGAAGGATATGAGGCAATCATCTTGGTTGGGAAAAATGACTTTCTGCAGGACAGACAAGGAGGAAAGCAATTAGATGACCTCAGACATTATAATTAAAAAGGCAGTTGCATCTCTAAGCAAATAATTCAAAGTCACAGGTCTTTTTCCAAACGTACCTTTATTAACTAAAACAAATGACTGGAGGGAGGGATATGAATGAGTGAAACTCACATCTGTCACTTTGAGAAAGCCTGAGAAATCTGCCACAACGTTTCCATGCGTGAGCATGACTCCCTTTGGATTTCCTGTGTAATCACACAAAAGAAACACAGACAAACATGCAGTTATAACACACTCCCTTCACTTGCCAGAGTCTTCCAAGTGACATCCAAAATAATTCTGGCTCATGAGAATTTCACTGAAATTCCAACCATGACATTGCATGTTAAACACTAAAATTGATGTCATCCTGTTATCTGTCACATGGACAAGCACATGCATTGCCATTAATATGAATTAAAACGTTCCTCTTTCTGAGAATTCCCCCCCGCCCCCCCCCCCCCCCAGGGAGCAAACATGTGTGCCAAGAACAGAAAAGATGGTGTAACACAGAGGCTGGAGTCTCGGGGAAATGCTGCTGGGTGACGTATGGAAAACGAATCTTAGGCTGGACAGGCTGCAGGTGTCTCTCAGGACCACAGGGTGGCGGTCTTTTCAAAGTCCGGGTGGGTGGGTGGGACGGCCGAAGGTTGCCAGACTTGTAAACTGACACCCGCGGGTCCTCAAATGACCTGAGCCCTTTTTCCCTTTCCCTTTCCCACCAGCAGTTGGTGTTTCTGTGGAATCAGACCTCCTAAAAAGCAGCAGTGTTTCCATGCTGCAAGAAGTTTGACATGACATAGCACGCCATTGAAAGCCATTTGGACGTTTACATAAAAAAAGAAGGGAGGGGTGGAAGTGTTCATCCCCGATCCTCTCCCAACTTGATCATTCTGCTTCCAATAAAAACATGGATTTACAGTAAATGCCTGCTTTCCTTTCGCCATGTGGGTCAGAAACTCAGCGGCCACCAAAACAATCTTCCTATTGAGGGGTTTGCAGGGTTCGGCCGGCAGCTTTGAGAAGGTTTTTATTTTCAGTCGGGGCGGCTGGACTTGCGCTTCCCTTGAACTCGGCAATGCGAGTGGCATGCCGTTTCCAGTAAGTCACATGGTATCCGGCGTCTGAAAACAAAGGGCAGCCGGTTTGTGCAGCAGGCCGCTTCCTGTACGCGCTGATATGCAGCATTATGCAACAGGGTCCTCGGTTTACATCTGCTCCCTCCCTTTACTAGAAACTGCTGATGTGTGCATGTGTGTGTGCTGCTCGAAGTCAGGGTGTCATCAGCAGGTGTTCCTGGGGGGGCAGTCTCCTTAAAGGTTTGCCAAATCAAACAATTATGGATTGCAGTTGGTCTAGTTAAACCTCCATTGACATAATTATGAATTAATCAATGAAAATGGTTGGACATTAGCATCCATATAAAAAGTCATTTTCAAATATTGTTATTTTCAAAAGATAAACGGACACAAAGAGTGTTTTCACCAAGTTCCAATTCAGCTAGCAAGACTTTAAGTATTCTCCTAACCCCCAATAGTACTCTTTGAAAACTTAATAAACAGTGGGGCAATATAAACACTCCTCTGTGTTTTTCATTCCAATAGCCTCTCAGGGAGGCCACAGTTAAGATCCCACTGACCTTTTAAACAAAACATCAACGTTTCATTCAGAGGGTTAGTTTTATTAGCATTCCTCACAACTTCCATTGAGACTCGGGTAGATTTTGAAGGATTTATGAAGCTTGCCTTTGGCGCACAGGTATGGTGTACAGCTAACTGGTCTGGGATTGGAGAAAGGATGCTCTGGCTTATTTGTGTCTGAGATGTCAGTAAACACATCATGAGCCACTTACTGAGCTGAATCTAGAATATGAATAGGACAATGGCACCAAGCAGAATCCCGTTCCACTTGGACCTTGGCCTTCATCACAGAATGGAAGGGATTTTCACCCTATAGTTTGAAATGAATATAGCAGGTTGGGTGTGCACTGTGCTGAACATACAAACTTGACTAAGACATATCGAAGTAATTGTTTAAGCTACACCCATATTTAAAACTGTAGGATTGACCATGACCTACATTTGCAATGTGTGGCATCCTTGCTCATAACTCTCTTTTTTCCTTCCTAATTACATTAAGTGGACCTTCTGTTGCCTGGGCAGCATAAAATCAAATTGTTCATCCTTGTCTGAGTCGCCTCTAATCTGTTACAGTTACAGACGATGACTGAGAACATTCAGTGTGGTTTGCGCTGAGGGTGGCACGGTGGTGTGGTGGTTAGCACCGTGGCCTCGCAGCAAGGGGGTTCCTGGTTCGACTGGGGGGGACCTTTATCTCTATGGGGTTTGAAAGTTCTTCACATTTTTGTGGGGTCTAAAAAACATGCACGTTAGGTGAACACTCAAAATGACCCTGAGGAGGGAATGTGATTGTGTGTGGTTGCCCTGCGATGGACTGGCAACCCGTCCAGGGTTGCAATTGGATTGTCAACCGCCACATCCCATATTTTTCTGCAACTATTGGAAAAAGAGCGGGATTTGGTGATGGACACGGCCGCCGGTCTCACCTGTGGTGCCACTGGTGAAGCACACGATGGACAGGTCCTCCGGGGCCGGTGGCTGTGGGGGACACAGAAGCATCGGTCAGATCAGACGCACGTCATGGTGAGGTGGCACATTCAAATGAGGAAGTGCTGAGCGGCATGTGAAACCGTCGCAGCAGGTCGCGAGGAGTCAAGCAGAAATAGCTGGCAAACGGCTACTAAAACTGTCCTATGAGGAATTTATTAAATGTACCTCGATGCAGCGTGTCGTGTCTCGACAGGTTAACACCTGGCATTAATTTGTCAGTGTTCATTGTTCAGCCTGTCAACACCGGCTACAAAGGGCTGACGTATGTAATAAGTTTCGACAAAGCAGTAGGTTTCGTTTGTCTGGTGTTATTCATTTATATAAAAAAAACAGCCACCCTCATAGTTTTCTGCAGCCATCTGGGTAGTTGTTACTGTGGTCAGGCGGCATGACCACACTCGAATTTTCTTTTTTTTTTTCAATTCTCACATGAAAACATAATGAAAAGAAACTGCCTTTTTTTGTCTATTCATCTGCTTGAGCTGATGTAGGATTCATCATCATCCGAAAACAATGTTTAAGCTGGCATGGCTATAGTGTTAAATGTGTTTATTTTCATGGCCCTTTCTCGTACTTACAACGGGTTTTCTGTGGTGCTCTCTCCCCAGAGCCTGTAAAAGGAACAAATCAAAAGAATTATTACAAGGATGTGCTTAAACATATGTTATCGAGCAGCGTTTGGTGTGCCTCCAGATTTCTGAGAAGGAAAAATGTGCTCATTTGTGGTTCTGTTCTGCTAGAAGGCAACCAGATTCTTAAGGTCACCTTTAAGTTTCTTTAGAATCAGGTAGATTTGATACCCTGGAGTTGTGAGGTACTCGTAAAGCTTAATACCAAACAACAGGAAAGTAGGTCATTATATCAAAGAAAAGTTATTTACACATGAGGCTAAAAAAATAAAATAAAAAAAAATACTTGCCCCCTGACTTGATTCCCTGTGACGATTTTACTTTATGTTGTAAATTAACTAATGCATCTAAACGGACATATGAAAGATGATGGCCGGCGGTTACTTGTTAAAGTGCAAACACAGGCTCAGAAGCATGGCACATATTTCAGGCCACATTTCACGGATTCTATCATTCTATCATGCCAGGGACCAGGAGATAAACATCACACCTGGCATGCCTTTCTCATGTCTAAAACAAACAAATCTGAACATCAGTTTTGTTTTGACTGGTTATGGCCGTCTGTGGTATGCTGCCTTGTTTCCTACATCGAAAACATTTTGACCGTATTAGCACTGATGTTGCTGCTGTATTCAGTTTTTGCAGAATTTGGAATCTAAAATTCAGTCAACAATTAATAAAATAGTCAGACCACCATAAAATCAACTCAGAAATCCCTTTAGTTGCACAAGGCTGAGGCAGTACAGTCAGATCTTTTCTTCACCTCTTCGATTGGAAAGTAATTAACCAAAACGTAAATGCTTAATCCAGTCATACCCCTCCTCTTCTCGAATACAATTCTTTTATTTCCAGCTTCACGCTTCGGGACACGCACGTTCCATTATTGACATGTTGTTGGGCGTGTTAAGAATACAGGGTTAGCCTGAAGGTGAAAGAAGAATGTGCTGCTTAATTAGAGAAGTCAGAAGAAATGCAACTATTGTTCCAAGGCCATGATGTGCGTCATCTCGTGACTTTCTTTGTTTCACGCCTTGCAAATGAAATATTTTCTAATTAAGAGCACCTCTTTGCACCTGGAAAAACTCTTTGGACCATGTGCCAAAAACAAGATCTACACCTTATGAAAGCATTGGCTTCCATTTAAAACCACAATTATATAAAAAGAAATTGAAGGGATACTGTGTCAAAGTTCACTGCAAGCAACAGGTAAATATTGGACTGATGTGTCTGCATCTCATCGCTACTGATCTCTGTCTGGAATCTGTTGTCTTCTTAGATCTGGTTTTGAGGACCTACTTCACTGGCAAGTTGAAGGACCTGCTCATTTTGGGAGTTTTCTCCACCTCTCAAAGTTTACTTTAGAATTTAGAGTCCCCTCTGTTGCTTCGTGTGTGACCAGATGTTGTCTTCTGTTTATAGAACACGCTTGTAAAAGTAGCCTGTGAAGAGTTCACTTGAATGTAACCACTCCGTATACTAAAATTGCATTCTTTGCACAGTTCAGATTCCACGGGCAGATCCGCTCAGGGTGTTTCTCCGCAGGTCGTACCTCAACTTCCTGAACGGCCTGCACGTGGACGCCGCAGGCCTTGCCGTGCTCCACCAGGGCAGAGTCGAAGGCGTCCATGAGGAGGATTCTTTGGAGGCGGGGAGTCTCTTTTCGCTCCACGTTTTCCAGCAGCACCTGAGCTTTCTCCACCTTGTCGCAGATGACCGTGGAAATGTCAGCTGAAATTAAACAAGCACACAAGTGCACACACACCCTTGTGTGAATATCAGCAAAATGAGAAATAAAAAAAGGGGAGGGGAGGGTGGGGGGGACGACAAACACACATGCAGAGTTGGAATTTAGTTGAAATTTGAAGCATTTTAACAGATATGTGATCTGTGTGATCATTGTTTATCGAAACATGAGGTGATGTACGCTAAATGTATGTGGGAATATAGGCAGCCCCCTTTTTTTCAGCAGAGCTTCATTGTTTCAGGCTTTAATTCAGGAAGTAACGCTTCACTGTGGTGATAAAGTTTCTCCCTGTCACCAGTGAGGGCAGCTCCACCTCTGAAAGCTTCTCCGTAACATGGTAACACTTTAACCGAGACGCATACTGTATCTGCTGAAGGGAGAACTCTTAAATGCGCTACAAACTAACTTATTGAAGTGGTGGCAGCTCTGTGGTAGTTACAGGCGGAGACTTTTCTTTTTATTCTCCACACATCAAACTCAACACGTGTGTTAAGTGTACTGGTGGGAGCAGTTCAGCAGGTCAGAAGGTGTGTTCTTACCAGTATTAATGATGAACCGTATGGCGTCGGCGCCTAGCGTGTCGTAAAGGGGAACCACCACCATGGAGTAGGTGTAGCAGGCCAACTCTGAGATGATCCACTGAAATCACACACAGGCGCAAACTTCATACTCAAGTTATACTGGGAGCACTTCGAGGAAGCTTTTCGTGGGACAAATTAAGGGTGCGACATCATGGCAAGAGCTCAAAGAAAGGCAGTCACCTCAGGCCTGTTCTGAGCAAACACGCCGATGAACTGGTCTGGGTTGGGCTGGCAGCCCTGGTGCAGGAGCCCTGAGCCCAGGTGCTCGGCCCGGGCTGTCACCTGTGGATGGAGAGGTGGGAAACAGCGGATTGGAACCGGCGGCGCGAGAAACTATGTCAGAGCTAAGCATCCAAAGAGGGGGAACACGCCACGCTCGCGTCCACTGAACTTGAGAGAATACAAAAATTCTAATTCCCATAAATAGCAGAAGTTGATGGAATTCAACTTAGAATTATCTCCTTTTTTCTTCAGCCACAACAAAATAGTGGTGGCCCAATTTAAGACCCTTTTTTAAACATCCGTCTCTCAGTTCTCACAGAGTTTCTATACATATATTTACATTATTACCGGTATGCATTTTTTTGTATATACACGGGGGGGGGTGTCTGGAGCCTCTCCCATCAGTTATACAGTTTACAGAAAGGTTTTGCGTACAAAACGTTACCGTCATTGTGAAAGAAATCAGATAAAAGAAAGTTTCATCATGTGTTCTACACTTCAGTGGAAAACGTAACTTAAGTTTCCCACTCTGGAAGATTGGCACATTTTTTTCCTTTACAGGAGGTTTCTTTGTAAAAGGGGGGGGGGGGGGGGGCAACAAGTATAGATTTGCCTCGCCTTTCATGGGAAGAGTACGAAAAAAGAAAAAAAGACCAATGCCACGTTTCATCTCGTAAAAACAAGATGACGTAACTGGTAAGTATGTGTGCTGCTGGATTCCCCACTCTACCTTGGCCGAAACAAAAAACTCCCTCTGGCCATGGCCTTCATCACTTCCCTCAACATGGCAGGTAAGCTCCTCCTTTGTAGGTATTTTGGAACTTGAAATACCCTCCAGGTATGTTGGGAGGTTTTCAGTAAAAAAAAAAAAAAAAAAAGAATTCTTCCATTTCTTAACAGTACATGACGCCTGTTTGGATTTCCTGGCCTGCCAAGCATTATCTGGAATTGCATGTAATGACATCAAGGATCTTCATTTACTTCTGTAAATTTGATCGTGACGTCCAATCTGATACCGTGATGAGTTGTCTTTTCTTTTCTTTTTTTACAGTGCGCTGTATTATTTTTTTTTCGTTATTTCCGCTCAGGGCAGTGTAGACGGAAAAGGACTAACCTCTTTATAGGACAACCATTTGTAGGGCTGGTTAGGGAGCCGAGAACCTAAGCAAGGCCCGTCACCTGTGGGACACAGAAAGGCACAAACCAGGGTTTATATGTTGTTTTTTTCCCCAGTTGGGATGCCGATACCTAAAATATAAAGTCAGGAAATAGAATTCTCTGCACATCTACGGCAATAAACTGTACAATTAAGTCCTAAATTGGTGGTAAAAGAAATTATGTGCAGCTGAGTCTCTCCTCTTTTACCTCATGCATCAAATAAAGACCCTTGAAATCCAAAAATCCCTCGGAGGAAGTTTTTGTTTTGTCTTTTAGCAAACTAATTATACTTCTACTTAGATTGCTCATTTTATGAGCACTCCTAATGAGTCACGGCGAGCAGCCGGGGAACATGCGCTGTGGCGGAGTGTCTGCAGAGTGAGTCAGTTTCCAAGTCTGGTCATGAGCTGCAACTCCAGCAAGAATGACCATCACCGTGGCAACCGGAGCATTGATTTTTCCGCCGGTAGCAGAGATAACGGGAGGTTTTTTCTGTGACTTTACTGGTCCTTTCGGCTATAGCTATCTCTGTTCACATGTGTGTGACGCTGGCTGCAAGATAAAATTGTCAGGCTCAGTTGAAACTGTTTTCCTCCTAACAAATATGTCTGAAATACAGACTTTTCAATGGACTGCTGCATGATCGCTCAGTTCTGGATGACTTAATCTCGATGGGTGCCCGCAAAAAAATAAAACGAAATAGAAATTCAGCCCACCAGATATGTGAAGGCCTCGCTGGAACACCTCATACATGGTTCTGGCGTCATCGTGGTAATGGGTCAGCAGTTTGGAGGGGTCCCCCATCATGGATCTTCGGCCTCCATCTTCATGCTGGTAAAAACGGGGGAGATGCAACGCTATCTTATCTTTTTCTCCAAACTTGAGAGGGGGTTTATGCAACCCCTCATCACCATAAAAACCAAAAAAGAATAAGCCTCCATATATTGAATCTTTCCTCATGTCGGCTCGCGTCTTTGCTGCATTCTGGGAAATTACCTCTGGGAGTACATTTTTTCTAAAGACGACGGACAATTAGAGAAAAACAAATTTTTTTAAATGAGTCATTAAGGTTGAGAATATTAGGAAGCCTGGAAGGTAATGAAATCCAAACCAAGGTTAAGGCTCTTTGCTTTGGCCTTTGCTCAAATGTGCAAGTTAGATTCCAAACACATTGAAAGAGTTTAGTGTTAAATAACTAATTGTTTTAGTGTTTTGGTTTGTTTTTTCGTTCTCTGGTAAAAATGAATATAAAGTCTCGTTAAAAGTGTCAGATAATGGGGTACTGGGGAGAAAAAGGGTCTCGTAAATACAAAACAAACAATTGTTATAATTCGTTTTGAGGATTTCCGGACATACAAACCAGAGGTTCTTTTTTTTTTTTTTTTATGAATACGAATTGCTGTTCCAAAGAGGAACCAAAAAACAGCGTAGAATTAAATTTAGCTTATCAAGAGAAATTTCGCCATGCGCAATAGCAGAGGCTCGATGCGTCTCTATCTCCGTGCAGCGTCTCTCACCGGTACTTCCTCCGACTGGTGCAGCAGGCTGCAGGGAGGCTTGATGGGACGGGGCCGGGTGGCGAGCCAGTAGGCCAGCACGGCGGTCAGGGCGCCGATCCCCACCAGCGTGGACGTGGGCAGAGAGCGGAAGAACTGTCCGAGCTCGTCCATCTCCGGTATCCTCAGGCCGCTCATCATCTCCTGGGCCTGCATCTTCTCCATCAGGGTGGAACTTAGCTCTGCGGGGCGGAGGACACGCGTCCACTTATGAGTTCAACAGGAGGGGAACGCTGTTAAAAATACAGATACTGTAATAGGCAATCTCAAAGGTAATAAAAATGTAAGTGGAAATGTCACGTTTTACCACATAAAACATGAATATGGGTCAAAGTGAAGCTTTGACCTTTTCTTGACATGAAACTGTCAAATAGGTGTCAAGTCAATTATGTTAAAACTGAACCTTGCAAGGGTTTGAAACCACTCCTGTAGAAGGACGAAGGAGCTCTGAACTTGAAAAGGTACTGTATTGCCTGGGTAGAGATTCGTTTATTTTTTAGATCTTAGAATTTGCAAAAAGACAGCATTAAAACTCATTTATTTTAGTTTTTGTTTAGATAGAAGGAACAGTTGTCACAATATCTGATCTGACTGACGTGCAGCACGAAACCTACAGCAGCTTGAAAAAAAACAAAACAAACAAAAAACAAACATATCAACACAAAAGTCATAAATGAAACGGGCCAAACCGCCGTCTGGTACCAAACAAGGAGCTGTGATCTGCAAACGGAAACTGCAGTCTTATCAGTCACAATTGCAGTCCCAAGAGCTTTAGGAATTCCATAAAATGACCCAGGGCGTGGGGGGGTTGGGGGGGTACTGTGAGAGTTCGCTGTTTACGCTGCATAGAGAAGTCTTACATTTTAACGAGGCTGCTTGAAACTGTGTCTGTGTGCACCAGGAGGAAGGCTGGAAAAAAATGGTGGGATTAGTAAACGCGTGTCTGTGTGTGTTTTGTGGTGACATTTGACCCCACCGCCCCAAAAACTGAAATTTATTTCTGAAAACAGGAAGAGTTAAGGGTCTTTCCCCCCCCTACCGCATTCTTAGTCTTAAAGCAGAGGCGTGTCAGGTTATCTATAGGTACAGCAGTTAGAGCCACACAGTAGATAAAAAACACACATGACACACACAGTGCTTACTGCTCACTTCTCGCTCTGCCTCACATACTTTCTATCTCTCTCTCACACACACAAACACACGCACACACTCTGCGAGATGCATGATTTAGCTGGGGAGGTGGACCGCATTGCTGACTGGAGGATTTCCTCCTCTGCCCGGGGAAATGAGTCACAGACAGACTGCTGCATCTCACAGCCAATCGTAACCACTTCCTCTTTCTCTCTCTCTCTCTCCCACTCTCTCTCTCTCTCTCACACACACACACACACATAAACACACACATACACATGATTCTACTAGACACTGAGGGTGATGGGTATAAATAACTAGGGCCGTGGGAACACTGATCTGTCACCTTTTTTTGCTCAAGTATTTATATTTTTATTAAAAGCGTTACTTTATGTCCACCTCCTTCTTCACTTACGCCAAAATAAAGCATACACCGCAAGGCCATCAAGAAACTAGGTGTACACCTTTAACAATTTAACACATTTAAGGCAGCGTCGCGGAGGCGGGCAGAAATCCAGCAACTGGCGTTCTGATGATCAACAACAAATCAGATGAGCTGTTAATGGACTTTCAGACTTTAACACTTAAAAAAAAGTCCTGAGGTTAAGGGGTTGAGAGTCTCATGAGTCATGAGTCACCAAAGTGTCTCCTGAGTAACAGGTTCAAAATGGTGCTTCCGCAAAAACAGTACACATTTTTTTTCATTTTTAGTTAATATTTTCAGTATTTTTTTGACAGGAAAAGCTAATTGGTGTGCAATGAATCATGTCGTTTTAATGCTAGGGTTTACCGAGCAAAGTGGTCTCAAACTTTTTGGAACAGTCTTTGGAAACCGTTCTGACATTCATAACATAACTCAGTTGATGGCTGTGTTCCGCTTCTGCATAGCCTTCCCCCCCCCCCGGCAACAACAGCAAGCCACACACTCGGATGTGCCAATAAAACCCTGCAGCGACATGTGACACCACGATGAAATACTATAGGGCACTACCGGTATCTTTCCTGAACGTCTCCTGCAACCTTAACCCATGCCACCTTCAGGCATTCAGTGGTGAATTCCCTGACATCGGTTTCCCAATCACCATGAAAAAAAAATCCTCAATCCCCTCTGTACAGTTTCTGTTGTGACAGAAGGGAAACCACGGCATCTCTCTGGTGTCTCAAACTGCTCCTGTGCCTTCAAAACTGCAGGGCTACCTTTTTTATTTTCCATGGCATTGGAGGTCAAGCATTTCCTCTTTTCTACTATCCGTTCTCTGTATTGCTGCCCTTCCAGTCACTATATTGGGGAATCGGAGTTTCTCGAGTGTAGGGAAGTGTCAAGCGCCACAGTCGGGCAAAGAAAAAGAAACCACGTGACGGTGGTGGTTCATCAAACTACTACCAGTTACAGCTTTTTAAACGGGCCACAGTGTTAAAAGCTATGAGTCTTTCTTGTAGTGGGAAGTGCGTCCATAAACACATGAAGCTTTAGCAAATTGGGTTTCCTAATTGTTCCCTCTTTCACGGCTTTATTACTTGGAGATTGTTTAAATCTGTTGGGCTTTATGCAGATAACTAATGCAGACTTTGTAAACAGCATGGCCAGTTTACAAAGTCTTAGCATGCTAGCATACCGTCTGAAATTCCACTAGAATTCTTTTAACAAATTGATCAGAATCTTAATTTCCCAGAATTCTATTATCAAAGAAATAACCTGATATCTGAAAACATACTTCATAATTGAATTCAAACATTTGTTCAAACCTGTTCCTTGCAGCAAAGTCTGACTTAGCTTAGCGTGAGGATGAAAACAATTTTCCTTATAACTTTAAGAATATCTAGTATATTAATTTCCTTTGGGTAGCAGTGGCTTCTTACATAAAGCAATAGATAAGACTTTTTGGGAAATATCTTCTCCTGCTCTATATAATAGCCTAGAGTATTTAGCTTAGCTTAGCTCAGAGACAGTCATCATAGCTACAGAACTAGCTTAAAAATCTGACCCTTTTTCATCTACCAATTATCCATAGATAAATCCAATATATAGATGTTTTACAGGTAATGTAGCATTTAAAAACAGACACACAATCATAAAAAATATGTTAACTTTTGCCTTGATTTTTACATACGTGGCCCTATTTTGGTCCCATTCTGTAATTTCCCTCAGGGGAGTTAGTAGTTCTGATTAGATGGGTTTAAGAACAAAACTGTTCATTTGTTGAAAGGCAACAAGAAATGTATTTTACAGCAGAAATATTAAACCGGCCTTTAATGAGTGATGCTTTTTTGATTAAAAAATCTGTTAAGAGGTTGATGCTGTGGGATCCTGATCAAGAGTCATTCTGCCGGTAGTTATTATAACTGAACAGTTCTGACAAAGAAAGTCCTGCACAAACTGGCTGCTCTTTTTTAAGACAGTTTTATATGACAGAAATATATAATTTCACCCGACTGTCTGATCACATTAGAATCCTTTTTTTTCCTACTTCATCTAACTAATGGCAAACGTGGTCAGTCGGCTTTGTAAAAACAAACTTGTGTTGACGGGGTAACCGACTTTCGTCTGCGTTGACTGAGCTACCGTGAATTAGGTGGTTATTGGAAACCGCTAAGTGCAAACATCACCGGACAAGCTCTCGCCATAGGCGGAGTTCGTCTGGTGATGTAGACACGGGACCAGCTCTAAATATAGACAGACTCCATAACCCACTGACACCACTGTGCAGTAAGCTGGAATAAAGGACAGTGCAGCTGGTTCCAAAGACAATCTGGAAAGAGGAAAGACAAGTGGATGGAGAATGGGTCCCCTGTGGCAGACAAACAAAGCCTACTATTAATACTATCATTATGACATTGTTGGCATTATTCAACATTCTTTAATCATCTCATCTTAAATATATGAATTAACACATTATTTCTAGCACATCTTAAAAAATATATATATACAGGATCAGCAAGTTAAACCTTTAGGTGTCCTTCCTTGTAAATTCACCTGTAATCTTTCACAGATTACCTTTCATTTTGTAACTAACCTAGCTTCTGATAATACGTCAAATCTCATATGCAGGATTCGCATGTGGAGCCTGCGGGGTTAATCAAACCTACAAAGTCGTGCAGAAAAAAGCCAGCGCACCCGAAAATATCCGAACAGCAGGCTTCCCAGATGCCTCACTGGTGTCCTATGCTTTCGTCTGGTTAATAAAAAAAAAGAAAATTCCTCTAAAGTGTCACCCTGCACATTTTCTTTATTGTTTTTGTCTGGCATAAGGTACATTTTCAGCGTACTGCCTTATTACAGAGGGAAGCTCAGCCCGAGACACATGTGCTGCTCACTCCCGAACAGGAATTTATGTAAGATTTCTCTCAAACAGGCAGAGTGTGGACTATATTTTGCCAGCTGAGATGAGGCCGTGAGGCTAAATTTGCATGATTGCTTTGCGTAAACAGAGTGGCCTCTGCAGCTCGCCCCAAACTCTGCTTGGCGTCCGGATTCCGTGTCTCTTAATAACCTCAGTGACACCACAGCGATGCGCATTTTCAGGCCGGCCCCTGCTGCGATCTGCGGAGGCTGTTGCTTCAGCTGGGGTGACAAAGGAACAGCGGGCCGGCAGCCTCCCCCTCAGCACAGCTGGAAACCTTCATCCCCGTTCGATTGGGGAAATGAGTAAACAGTTATTGTCGCTTTACTTTTGGCAGACGATCTTTAAACCGGTGGTGGGGTGGGGGCTCGCGAAGAGATCAACCCTAGTTATGTAATGCTACGGTTCTGCACAGCTGAGTTGGGAGCCGGGAGGTCAGAGGCTGATCCCAAGTCCGGCGTCGCTAAGAGAGGGGGAGACAGAAGTGCTCCTTCCACCAACCAGGTGAGCTACGGTCACCGGCAGGAAGGCCCCGCCCTCCGCTCGTCACGTGACCAGGCCGGAGCTGTGTCTTGTTGTCAGTGGCCATTCAGAGTCGGCGATGCGTGCGAGGGCCTCGGTGTCCTGATGCTACAAGCCGGCAGCGTGGAGCCTCCTTCAACATAAACTTTAATCAGGCGGAACGGGATGAAAGAGGCTGTCTGAGTCAG